AAGGTATGGAAAACCTATTCAATGAAATAATAACAGAAAACTTCCTAGGGATAGAGAGAAATACAGACCTTCAGATCCAAAAGGCTCAAAAATCTCCAATCAGATTCAATCCAAAAAATCCTCTTCAAGACACATTATAGTCAAACTGGCAAAGCTCAAATGCAAAGAAAGAATCTTAAAAGAAACAAGAGAAAAGTGTCAAGTCACCTATAAGGAAGCCCCTATCAGACTAACAGCAGACTTCTGAACAGAAACTCTACAGGCCAGAAGGAAATGGAATGATATATTCACAATGCTAAAAGAAAAATACTACCAGCCAAGCATAGTATACCTGGCAAGGCTATCATTCAGAAATGAGGGAAAAATAGTGTATTTCCCAGACAAACAAAAACTGTGGAGTCTACCACGACACAACCAATCCTACAGGAAATCCTCAAGGAAGTCCTGTATCTGGAATCCAAAAACCAATTATCACTATGACAAATACATGAGAAAGAACAAAACCCACTAGTAGAACAAAAATTCAAAGCAGAAAGAGAAAGAAACTAGCTCTTACCACCACAAAAAAACCACAATGACAATGTGATAATGCCCCTGCTTTCTTTCTCATTTTAGTAATTTTGGTCTTCTCTCTTTTTTTCTTGGTCAATCTAGATAAAGGTTTGCAAATGTTGTTGATCTTTTTAAAGAATCAACTTTTGGTTTTGTAGATTTTCTCTATTTTTTTTAATTCTCTATTTCAAATATTTCTGTTGTACTCTTTATTCCTTACTTACACTTGCTTTTGATTTACCTTACTGTTCTTTTTCTATTTTCTTAGAGTACACAATTACATTACTGATTTGAAATTTTTCTTATTTTTAAAATAGGTGTTTACAAGTATAAATTTTCTCTAAGCACTGCATGAGCCCTGCATCGTATAAATTTTGATGTGTTGTGCTTTGATTTTTATCTCAATGTATTCTACAGTATTCTACAATTTCCCTGTGATTTTTCTTTTTACCCATTGTTTATTTAGGATTGTGTTGTTTAATTTCCACACATTTGTGAATTTTCTAAATAATTTCCTTCTGTTATTGTGGTCAGAAAACATACTTTCTACAATCTTAGTCTTTTTAAATGTGTAAAGACTTGTCTTACAGCCCAAAATAGTAAAAAGAAA